TACCACATAACACCTATGAGCGCTTAGCATTTGAGCGGGTAAAATGGAGTTCAACGTGTTTTAGTGGACTCAGCAATTTTCAATCTGCTTGTCTGAATAAACGAGGTAACATCTAAAAGGTCAGCCAATCTAACAGTGGACTCATCTCACAATCCTCAGACTTGCTCCATATGTGACCTCCTTTGTAAATCACTAGCGGGATTTAAATGCTACTTAAGATTATCGCACAAACTTTCATAACTGAATTAATAAAGTCAGATCCTCATACGTCGAAACCGACGGGAGAGTCCATTATATATATATATATATATATATATATATATATCTTCCTCTCGTCTGGGAGCTGGTAGCTTAGGGGGAAAATCTTCGACTGATGAGAAATCAGTCCCGTTTCGATCCTGGCTTAAAACAATCGTATGTCTAGCCACATTGATGTGCTGAGATATAGCGAGACAGTCTCTCTGTGGATGACTATATATATATATATATATATATATATATATATATATATATATATATATATATCTTTGATTATTTACGTCTTATTTCGTGCCCTTTTAAGGTCAATATAGTACAACACTTTCTCTTCGAGAGCTCTTAACCATACCTTTGGTCATTATGAGGATTACTGATTCTGTTGCTCGTGTCATGAGCTTTGTTTGAGAGATGTGTCCCCGAAGGTTGTATCATTATTCCTGGCTAAGCTAAACTTACAAAATCAATATTTGACTCTTAACAATCGACCAACGAATAGCTGTTATGGTGGTTTATGTCATCCGCAGAGTAAGGATATACTTACGTGTTTGACTTTGAATATTTGTCTCCATGTGAAAATGAAAGTAGTCTGTATTCGGAGATATAAGTATCGAAACAATTTGCTACTAAAGATATATTCTTTCTTTTCTGAAACGATAGTTTACTTAATACAATGCTCAAGATCCACCCAAGGTAGATTTTTACAATTGTTTGCTACTAAAGATATATTCTTTCTTTTCTAAATCGATAGATCCACCCAAGGTAGAGTTTTACGAAATAGTGTTGTTGTAAATGCCTCTATGTAGCGTGTATGAGGCGCATATTATGAGGATATTTAGCATAAATAAGTGTTGAAGTGTTTACAGTTGTAGTGATCGGGGATTCTGAGTGGAACTTCTTCTTTATAAATGAAATACAAATGAAAGGAAGATGAGTCGACTTTGTGTACGTGATATGTCAGGTACTCGCTACGAATGTCTGAACTGGTAGATTAAACAATATAGCTCGCCTGAAAATAGGGCTTATAAATAACGATAGAGTAGCCAGAAGCTAATAAGGTTTCGGTTGTGGGAAGCGTGTTGTATGTTGGAAAAATCACCCAAAAGGACGATTAAACACATTTGAACTTTGCCAAAGCTGGGAAGTGAATAGTAGGCAGCTCCTGTCCAGATAAGGCAACGATATTTCCATTTTGGCGTTGATTTTGGTATTGCAATCATATGGCATGACAAAAGAAGTCAGCCCTACTTTTAGATACAATTAGAACTAATATTCATCATTTAAAGAAATACATGTGAATTTTTTTTATTAATAAATTCATAGACGTTTACAAAATTATTAAGATATGCGAAATAGCTATAAGGAAATACTTATTATTACAGTCATTCAGTTATGTGCCATGCGTGATGCACGCTTAGGCGATCATGTATCTTTCGATACATGGCTGACGAGGCAGTAGGTTGCCATTTCTTTCTGCAGTAGAGCGGTAGCCATTTCTTTCTGCAGTAGAGCGGTTGCCATCCAAGGCTATAGAACCCGGTCTCTCCTGCTATTTACCCTTAGCTGAAGGGAGAAGAAGAGGGTTTCTACTTTTCCCAAGGGTATTAGCACGTAAGTGAATTTAATGGATTCGACTGGAATTCGAACTCGGCTCTCCGATTTCTCAATATGAGACGCTATCTATTATTCCATCGTGCCTTATTATTTACCATTTTATAAAGTTCTAATCAATTGACAATTAGCTAATGTTTTGTCAACCATTCCAATAAATAACATCCCAATTCTAAACGTATATGAAGGCCATGGATTGAATTTGTTGGTGAGGAGAAAGGCTTTTGACTGACACAGATGTTAACATTTGGTTGGACGTAGAGTAAATAAATCTCCTGACACTAGATGGGAGATGACGACATGGCCTGGATATTCCATCCCTGTGGTAGTACCTTCCTCAGTGCAGTAAGAGAAGTAGGGTTGATGTAATATCTATGGGGACTGAGAAAAGAAAGAAATATCTGACATTTCACATCTACGAGCATTTTATTCGATGTTTACATGAAGAACACATAATGTTAATTTAATAAATGAATTAATTGTTTTAATAATGAGGATATTCTTCTTATAAAACTACAAGTATATAATAAAAATAAACATTTAGAATTTGGCTAATTAAAAGCCTATATTTGGCTAATTAAAAGCCTATATTTGATAAGTCTTTTTATTAGTATCTGTTTGTTCTGTGTGGCAAGCCTCCTCATGAGATGAGCGATCATGGTTCATGCAACTTCCAAATTTTTGTGCCTCATCCTAGTCCCTGGTCTCCCACACATTTACATAAACTCATTAGAATGGTTACGCGATGTTTTCCCTTGTCCCTTTTGGCATAACTACGACTTGTTAGCGCCAACCTTCCCAATCCCTCTTCCCTCATTATGTGTCTATGAAAAATCAAGGGCTGCTTTCTGATTATATGTATTAGCGTTCTTTTTTTTTTCCATTTTACTTAATACTTCACCGTCACTCACGTGTCACTCCATTGTATTCTCAGGATCTTTCAGTAGAACGATTTTTCTGTTGCCTCAAGTCTCTTTCTCACCTCTGAGAGAAATGTCCATCGTTCACTGCCATAGAGGAGGGCTGATGTTATGTAACGTTTCAAAACAATTTTCTTTGTTAATTTTTCCTAATTTTTCTTAATGGATATGACGATAAACTGCATCCGCGTCCTGGGTAAGACGATAAACTACGTCCAACAGCAAAGCCTCTGATCATGCTGGTGTTCCCAAGTTCAACCTGACCCAGGGTGGTAGCAGCTGTTAGGGTACCAGGTATGAGTAAATAGTTGACCCCACAACCTGACCGAAAACACTATGAAAGTGTAAAAATAGATTTTAATACCAGAAATACATAAAAAAAAATAGTATCAGTAATAAATATTTGAAAAAAGAAAATATTACCAGAAATAAAAATCTTGACAGCATTAAATAACCCATTGAGATTAATTAGCCACAAAACAAACTATACATTTAAAAAAAAATATTACCAGCTATACATTTCTGGAAAAATTACCAGCTATACATTTTTGAAAAAAAAAAAGGAAATTTTGTTGGCATTAAATAACCCATTGTGGTTGTTATGCCAGTAAAACAAACCAAACCAAACTGTTTCTTAATGTTTTTGTTTAGGTTTTGGAAGATATCTTTTACCCTTTTAATGCACCTTTGGATTTCATTGTTAGATTTTCCGTTTTCTGTTTGAAACGCTTCCTAGATATTTTAGTTCTTGTACTTTCAATTCATAGTTCGCGTCTAGCTTCATTCCTCTTGCTTGTAACCTTGCATTCCCTGTCTTCTTTCAAGTGATGTTTACTAGTCTATTTTCAATTTGATTTTCAGTTATTTGTTGGTTTTCCTGTAGTTTCCTTGTTGTGTGTGCTATCAACACTGTTTCGTCTGTATATCATATTTTGTTAATATTAGGTTCACAAAACAATAAATCACAGTAGGACACTTAGTTCTTTTTGAATCGCGTGAAACTAAAACTTTTTTTTTCAATTTCCTGTATTATGAGAAAGAACAACTTAAAACAATTAACTTTTCACTGTGAACAGGATTTGGGATGTTTAGGCTGTCTCCGTTTATTTTCGTCTACCGTTCTGAATATTCGAGAAAACCTATAAAAGTAAAATATACGTCCCCTTTGGCAGTAGAAAACGACGTAAAACCCGACTCAGCAACGATGGACATTTGCGTATCAAATGAAGTAATGGGCTTTTATTTATTCATTAATCCTACAGTTTTTATCACTTAGAACGTTATTCCTAGTTGATAGGCATATTTGAATAGAAGCTCCGTTTATTTATTAAACGGTATATTTATTTTCTGCGAGGCTTAATATTTGAGAAAGCTTATTAAAGAAAAATATGCGCCCAGCGGATTCGAAACTGCGTCCCTATTGGCAGATGAAAACTTCGTTAGATCCGACGAGCTTATAATGACTCAGTCCTAAACGACATTTGTGTATCAAGCTAGGCTTAGGAGTACCTTTAAGTGAACTACTTCTCGTCAGATATTCCCGAAATTTCACACCTGCTCAATTTCGTATCCAAACTTAAAAAAAAGATATTTTCTGCAGGCTTAGAATTCTAACGTTGAAAGCATGCATTGGAGAATGGTTCGTTTCCCCGGGAATCATGGAAATGAAAGAATTTGTTTACGTATTTACTGAATATAAGATAAAAATATAAAGTTTCAAATACTTCTTCATGAACTTTGGTTATTTGCGTAGATTCTGCCGATAGAAATGCTATTAAGATAAATACAGTTTAAAATTGCTTCAGACATTTATTACATCGCTCAGGTTTAAGTTCCTCCGGAAATTGGTTTTGACACCTTACTTTGTGCCAAGTCTCTGACATCGTACAGCCTTGAGAATGAAGTGAGCGGTAACCCTTTTCATTGCCTTTTATTTCCGAGCTGAATTAGCTCAATTCTCCATAGCAATGGAATTTGATAAATTTAGAAATAAACAGTCATACAGACATTTGAAAGGTTTAAGTGTTTCACAGGAGCAATTAGAAATCATTTAACCTTGCTCAACTTTTTAACTCATTAGTAATATGTTAAAATATACCGAAAATATATTAAATTTATAAATGGTTTGTGTTGGGAGTAGAAGTGAAATAGAAGAGGGAAGTTTGTAAATGATATCAGAGATTATTTCTTCTTTTTAATAAAATGAGGTTTTCGTTATAGTGAGCAGTTACTGGGCTTAAAGAAAGAAAGCGGTGACAGAAGAAAGGCGTATAAAAGAGAAAGATGTACGTCAGTGAAAAATAAAGAAAATAAGGGATGAAAAGGGAGGTAAATGTTAATGGAAAAGATGTAATTGAAAAAACGAGGTTTAAAGTAGGGAATATTTTGGAAAGAATCCTGTAAAAAAATCAAAAAAAGGAAAACAGAAGAAGAAGAAGAAGAAGAAGAAGAAGAAGAAAAAGAAGGGGGAGGAGGAGGAGGAAACAAAGATAGAAATAAAGAATGTTCGTAAAATATAAAGAAAGAAAGAAAGAAAGAAAAAATGGAAAAAATGAAAAATATAAACAGGAATGGAAATAAACAAATAAGAAAAAAGAATTAACAATTACAAGGAAAAGAAAATAATTTAAATTGCAGTAGAAATACATAATTAAAAAATAAGAAAGAAACAAAGAAAGAACGAAAGAAAAATGGTAAAGCAAATAATATCAATTGGGGTGGAAAGAAAGAAAGAGCAAACAAAGAACAGAAAATATGGAAGATACATAGGGGTGTTAAATGAATAACAAAATAAAGGCATGGAAAAGAAATAAATAAAGAAAGAACGTAATATAGAAAGAAAGAGAGAAAGAAAGAAAGAAAAAAGAAAGAAAAAGAAAAAAGAAAAAAGAAAGAAAGAACGTAATATAGAAAGAGAGAACAAAAGAAAGAAAGAAAAAAGAAAAATGAAAGAAAGAAAGAAAGAAAGAAAGAAAGAAAGAAAGAAAGAAAGACAAAATATGCTGAAGAAAAAGAGGGGAATATAAGAGGTAAATAAGAATGAAAAGGAAAGAAGACTACAACGAAGAGAAAAAAAAACAAAAAAAACTAATGAATGAAAACGAGGCAAGGAGACATGAGAACGGAGCCGATGCTTGGGGGGTGGGTCAAATGATTTATTTATTTAATTGTCCTGGGACGTGAGTTTAAAAGTTTACGAGGAATTATTATCTGTTTATTCCCAAAGGGAGAAGAGACTAATAATAAATTAAAATTTGTTCAGTTCTGCTGTTTCCTAGTCATGATTGCACTAGTCAACAAATGGTAAGAACTTGTAACAACCACTGAATCATGTTGCTGTCATTGTAATTTAAGGACATACAAAGAGAAATTGCATTTCAAAGGAAACTTCGGTGCCATTCAACTATTAGAAATGCGTAGATTATATAAGTCAAAACATTTTTACGGTATTAAAAGAAACATATTTAGAGCCAGTCTCTTAGTTTGAGTGGCCCTGTATACCATAATACTCGTTATTTGGATTTACGACTTTTTACCAGGATCGGACAATCAGCGAAACTCACTCCTGCCAAGCCACAAAGTAAGCAAAAATGATAGATGTTTGATTTATACGGATGTCCTGTCTGCATCATTAACATTATTTCCCCAAAGAATTTATTTGTTTAAAAGGTAGAATCGAATGTTTTACGATTAAAAAAAGTCGCTCCTTGATCTGTGAATGTATTAAATATCTCTAAGACTTTTTGTACCGTGTCTCTTCACAACGTGGACTATTATGGCTCTCCATAATTTCCTTTTTTTAGGCTCTTATTAACGTTTGTTTTTTCACCATCTCACTCACTAGCTGTTCTGTGATCCATTCACACATGCATGCTTATATTTTAGGTTACTCGCTGTTTTCCCCAGTCATCTTAACTTCATGCACGTTTCAAATTTTCCAAGCCTTGTTTATCTCATTACTAGCAGCATGGCCCGGCGTTGCCCGTGCTTGATTAAAAAATCGTACGACTCATACAGCAATCGCTATCACTTGACTTAAAATATTTTTGCCCTTCCTTGCCTTTAAAGGAGTGCCCTTTGCCGTGCTGATGTTGCTACATGCCTTATTTCTTGCTTATCTTACACTGCGAATTTTTTCTAAGCTCTATACTAAACATTAAATCTGTTACAAAAAAGGAACTAAACAAAATGAAAAGAAAATGATCAGCTTTAAAAAAGGACTCGTAACTAGAAAAACCGAATGAAAAAAAAATGTTAACAACAAATACTTTTTCACACCCAACCCAGTTCTGAGGAATCAGAATCAACGTTGAATTTAAGCAAGCGAATGAGCCAATTGGAGTAAAGTGACATACACATTTAAAATTTTCCCACTTGTGACGAATGCAGCTATCGATTCTTTTTGCATGCTAGCATGTTAGTTAATATTCGTGTCAGTCAGCTGTTGGCTCTCACTCTGGCCAATAGAATCTCCCTTCCTATTAGTGGCAGCCAGCTATTGGCTCTCACTCTGGCCAGTAGAAAATGGACGCAAACTACATGAAAACTGCTGTAGAAGCATGACAAAATCGATTATTTCCACTATCGATGGGAGTTGGGAAATGCAAAGTCGGTCTTGGTCTCCCCGTTAACTTGGAGCATGTGCATGTAAATTTTGGTGCAAATCCGTCGAAAATTGCTGCCGTGCATTCGTTACACACACACACATCCTGCCTTTTATAGATAGAGATGTGGCTTACAACTTCCAAATCTAAAGTCCTCTTCTATGACGATAATGGCAGCATACGGAGTTCGTATGGGAAATCTAGTCGAACTGTGCTTCTCTAACTACTACATGTCCTATGTCGAAAATAAGGTATTTAAAAAAGTTACTAGACCTAAAATATATGTCTGCAATGTAGATAATATTTTTATTTTAGCTGAAGATAAAAAGAAATTGTATACCTCAAGACTACGTTTGAAGAAAACACTGTCTTCATCTTTAAATATGAACTTAGTCAAAAATATATTTCCATTCTTAGACGTTCTTGTAGAATCTGGTAATAACTCACACGGAATGAAAAAAAAACACAAGTCGCTACCTTAAGTTTACGAGTTAATGCTTACTTAGATATAAAAAAAGGCATTATGAAAAGAGTTCTTCAAGCGAGAGCACAAGAATCATCTTCTCCGCTCTTCTTTAAAGAACACCACAACACGAATCAGACGTTTGCTTAGTACTTCATAAACCACTAAATTAGACTATTTCTTTTTAAGATGGCCAATAGCAACACTGAACATACAATCAAGAACAATAAAATTAACATTTTCTATATAGAATCCAAATGCCCGTTAAATGTAAGTAAGATGAATTTTCCCATAGAATTTTTATAAAGAAATACACAACCCCAGTCGACCAGAACAAGACAATTAAATTAATTATTTACTATAGAAAAATAAAACAACTAATCGTATAGCCAACAACATTAACTTACCTGCAAGATCCAAATTACAGATCATTTTTAAACTTTAAGGAACTGTGTTCATGATCAAATCCCATTCATGAAAACGTATATTGGCCATACCACCACAAGCCTATCAAGAAGACTCATGTTACACATTTCAAAGCATAGCTCAATTAGGACTCATTTAAACACACACGGAAACGTACCAAACTCCATCCGCAACATAATTGTGTAAAATATAATGAAATAATACAAGTATAAAAGCCTCATCCACATCTGAAAACAAGTCTAAAAATAATGGAAGAACTAAAAGTAAAAATGAAAAACCCACTGAATAATATCAATTATGAACAGGGCCACAATATACTGATCGTGTTTGGAGAAACAAAAACAAATATTCCACTCACTTTAGAAACAAAAAATCTACAAATTGATAATGGCCAATAGAAAAGCCGAAAGCGCGTGGATGTATCGAACATTCGGACAGTTTTTATACACTTTATGTTCAGAAAAGAAATCACTTATAAAAATACAAGAACAATTGCATAAAAGTCTTAATCGCAATACCTTGTCAATTGTCTTTACTGAAACTTGTGTAAAACAGGGATTGCTGCCCAAAATACACTATTCCATTCGTATCTATATATTTCTCCCTAACGCAGTCTATTCATTATCTATCTATCTATCTATCTATCTATCTATCTATCTATCTAATTATTTTCATATCGATGTCTCTCTATATCCGCCCCGGTCTCTTCACATCTATCTATCTATCTATCTATCTAGCTAGCTAGCTAGCTAGCTAGCTATCTATAACAGAGACTCTTCACATCTATCTATCTATCTATCTATCTATCTATCTATCTATCTATCTATCTATCTATCTAACAAAGTCTCTTCAAGTCTATCTATCTATCTATCTATCTATCTATCTATCTATCTATCTATCTATCTATTCTCTTGCTATATATATATATATATATATATTTTTAAACGTCTCTTCATATCTATCTATCTATAACAAAGTCTCTTCACATCTATCTATCTATCTATCTATCTATCTATCTATCTATCTATCTATCTATCTATCTATCTCCAACCCAATCTCTTCACATCTATCTATCTATCTATCTATCTATCTATCTATCTATCTATCTATCTATCTATCTCTATCTATTCTCTTGCTATATATATATATATATATATATATATATATATATATATATATATATATTTTAAACATGTCTCTTCATATCTATCTATCTATAACAAAGTCTCTTCACATCTATCTATCTATCTATCTATCTATCTATCTATCTATCTATCTATCTATCTATCTCCAACCCAATCTCTTCACATGTATGTATGTATGTATGTATGTATGTATCTATCTATCTATCTATCTATCTATCTATCTATCTATCTATCTCATTCTCTTTATATATGCCTGTATACAGGGTGTGGCTGGTATTTGAGGACAGATTTTATGGGTGAGTAAACAACTTGCTGAACAAATGAATATAATTATATTTGATTACAAACAAGTAAACATGAAATTTAGCTATTATTTAATTTTATTCAATAAAACCACCACTAGTATCAATAACTGCCTCTACACGAGGTTGTATCGGCTGCAAGATCTGATCAATTGGTCCTTATTTATATGATACATTACTCGAACCTTTGCAGCTTTAAGAGAGTCTTTGGTGTTATGAGGCTGTTTATTAACCTCCTTCTCAACAATGCCTCACACTTTATAGTTTAGTTGATTGAGATCTGGAGAGTTAGGCGGCCAAATGTTGGGTGTGAGGTGGTCGTATGAATGATCAGCCAGACATTTTTGCGTTCCTAGAACCTTGTGGGATGGAGCCAAATCTTGCTGGATTATGTAAGGCCTGCCGTTGCATATGCTGTCAAACCAGGGCTTGGCAACTGTTTCTAGAACTTCAATGTAAGCAGCAGCATTTACTCTAAGACTTTGTGGAAAAAGGTGTGGTGTCATAAAAAGTACTTCATTGCTAACAAGACCCAATATCATGACACTTGTATAAAATTTTGTGCGCATCTCTCTTGGTACCTCAGAAAGATCTGAACAAAGCCATCTGTCATTTCTTCTGTTAAGTTTTTGACGTGATCAAAGTTTTTCTCATCTGAGAAAAACCAAATCACACCAGCTTCTGAAAGATTTTTAAGTTTGTTCAAAAGCATTTTTGATCTGTTTAAACGGTTTTCTTTTTTTTTTCAGACATAAATTGTCCTATCTTCATCAGGTAGGACTTGTATTGAATGTCTTCATGAACACTCCTTTTGATTGTTTTTTTTTTCAGACAAATGCAGCTTTTTGGCATTTGACCTCATTGTTTGACCTCGGTTTTCATCAATTGTCTACTTGACTTCCTGAATAAATTCGGATGTTCTCACTTAAACAGAAAGTGCAGAATGTCTTTTACATTTTGATACAGACATTGGTGAACTGTCAGCGTCTTTTAATTCTTTTCGTATCTTGTGGATAAACGATCTTGCAACTCTGAGGAAACGTGCAATATCCAAATCACTATGATCAGCATTTAATGCCGCAATCACAGCATGCCTTTTCATTTAATTTCTTATCATAGGTTTTGCCGTTCTTGATTTCTGAAAACTAAAAGCATTAGAATTTAGGGGGAAGCAGTCTTAATCTTAAAGCTGTATGTCCTCAATTACCAGCCGCATCCTGTATATCAGCTTCTTCTTTTTTCCTTACACCCTTTCTTTTTATGTTGTTATATTATAGAACTATTCGATATTATACGACCTGTAGGGAACTCATTGCAGTACGCAAATAACGGAATTAAATGTTTCTGAACCAATTATTTAGCGAGAGCTATAATTCTTCATTCCAATCTTCGACGACGCATGGTTAAGTTATCAATGTAATTATCTATCATTATATGCATTGATATCTTTTACCGAATTGAATGTTTTTTTAAAGAAAATAAAGACTTCATGAGAAATTAATTTTCTAAATCTTTACATTTGAGTAATTAGGGAAATTAATGTTTTCTTATTTAAGGAGCGTCTAAAACTATTAAAGTTAAGAAAAATGTAACTGACCTCAGAAAATCGAAAAGCAGAAGCCAAGCACATTTTTGGCGGAAAACGATAAGGTCAACAAATATTTAGGCAGACAAAACAAAAGACGTGAATTGCAGACAGTAAACATTTCTATGGATTTTTGTGCACTCTTGCTTTTCTTTTTGTAAACTTGGCTTTACGACAAACGATTATGTTGCGTGTAAATAGCGAATAAGTTTCAGAAGCCCAGCAGTTATGTCTTTTGTGGCATCAGCTAACTGTTGAAAAAAGGAATGTAGTTCATTCACCTAGTTTTTGTTTTGTTGACTTTATTTTTGTTTTGCATGCAGCTGTTAAGCAGAAGAAAGAGACAACGAAGAGAATATAAGATTCTGAGAAAAAAAAGGTAGAAGGAAGATGGAGAGACAGCAGAAGTAGAGATAGCAAGAATAATGACACAGACCTTAAAGAAAAAGAAGGAGAAGACGAAGAAGAAGACGTAGAAGACGAAGAAGAAGAAGTATGGATGAGCAGAAGAAAGAAAAAAAGAGGGAGTATATTTGTATTCGGGAAAAAAATGTAGAAGAAGGAGGAGGAGGAGGGAACATTTTTGTATTCGAGAAAAATGAAGGGGAACAAGAAGAAGACGAAGGAGAGGCAGGAGGAGGGAGCATTTTTGTATTCGAGAAAAATGAACGGGAAACAGAGGAAGAAGAAGAAGAAGAAGTAATGTGAGAGCTCCAGGGGGAAAACAGATAGACAGGGAGCATTTCTGTATTCGGTAGATAAACGAAGGGGAAAAACAGAAGTAAAAGATGAAGAAAAAGAAGATACACAGGGAAAATTTTTGTATTCGTAAAATAAAAATAAAAACGAAGAGAAAAAGATATGAAGAAGAAGGTGGAGAATAAGAAGGAGGTGAATAATAATAATAATAATAATAATAATAATAATAATAAATCTCGAAAATGTGGCATATGGGAACATCAACAATCCCTGTTGTAGTTAAAACCCTAGGATTTGTTCGAAAAGATTGCAGTAGACTAATTGAAAGGATTCCTGGAAGTCCATGCCTCAAGGAGATACAAAAAATTGTTCTGACAAGTACAGCCCATACTTTACGAAGGGCTTTATCTATGTATTTTTTTTTCTTTTGTCAGTGAAAAGTGTCATGGTGCCATTTCTAACCTTAGGTCCCTGGGCGGGACCCGGAATGAAATGTGTAAACGCCAGAAATCAAATACTACTACTACTACTACTACTACTACTACTACTACTACTAATAATAATAATAATAATAATAATAATTGAATAATTAAGAACCGAAAGGTGGAATTAACCATTGGAGTCAAAGGATTTGTAACACATTTTCATTTGTCAGTCGGAAGACCCGTAACTCTGATATTGACCAATCATCGCTTACCTCGCTTAGTGGAAAAGGGAACGTAATACTTTGAGATCAAGTTTAAAACTTTTCTCGTCTTGACATGGTCAAGTGAGAAGTAAAATGGGGAATCGCGGTCGTAGATGTTCTGAAGATGCTCAGTCCTCACTTTTCAGCCTTCAAATGCCTTTCCGCAGCCTCCTTGTAGGCGATGAAATATTCCCCACTCTACAACCCGTTTCATACCGACAAATCGTCGCGAGTCTTTCGCTATTCAGTCACAATTACCATGGTAATATTTATCTTTTGCAAAACACAGTATACACGAACACACAGAGAAACAAATCACTTATATAGTTCTGGATATGACGATGAACTACACCCTGGAGCAAGTCCTCTGATCGGGAGATTGGAGGTTTTGATTAGCGTGATACCAGCTCTTATTTGCTGTTGTTCCCATGTCCAGCCTGACCCAGAGAAGTAGTTAAAATACCAGCAATAAATTATTCATAACGAAATTTACCACATTTTTGTAGTGAAATTAGCAATAATATATTATCAATAAGTAGTGAAAGTATCAGCAGTACATTTTTACAAAATTTACATACGATACATTTTTATAGCAAAATTACCAAGAATCATAAAATGACTAACATTACATTTTTTAATGTAAAGTGACCAAATGAAAATAAGTACATTTTATAATAAAATTACACATTGCACACATTTTCAAAAAAAAAAAAAAAAAATGAAAATAATTTCCTATGATTAATCTCATTTCTTATAACGAGAAAGATGTTTTCATTCCTCGTTTGATTTTGTAAGATTATCTGGTTAAAAAAATGCAGCGAGGTAATTATAATTTAATTATCAAATAATATCATTCTTTTGGATTAATAATAAATTTCGTTTTTACATAATTAGATTTTGGAATAACCCATACAGCTGTTAATATACCGTTAAAGAAAACAAGCCAAACCAAACACGTATATAAAGGATATACAAGGTAACCAAAAAAGTTCTGTCCGTTTTTAAAGGAAAAAAAAAGAAAACGCTTCACAGTATGTGTAACTTATATTTAGTCTTCGAAGTAATCGCCATCGGCATCCAACACCTGCTAACGTGTCTCCAGCTGTTCAATGGCCTTGCGGTAGAACTCGGGGAGGTTTGGCGCAAAGAAGTCCGTGAGGGCTTTGCGCAAGTCTGCTTCATTGGTGAAGGATTTCCTACGAAGATGATTATCCAGGGAGTGGAAGAGGTGGTAATCGGATGGCGCAAGGTCAGGTGAATACGGTGGATAGCCTAAAGTCTCCCACCCAAGTTGCTGTATCGTATCCCTGGCCACTCGCGCGACATGCGGCCTGGCGTTGTCATGGAGGAAAAGCACACCTTTGCGATTCAGCAGTGCTGGATCCTTCTGGCGCAATGCCTGTTGCACACGTTTCAATTGCTGCGAGTATATGTCTCCAGTGACCGTTTGGCCCGTTGGTAGCAGTTCATAATGAACCACTTGACTACCTGTCCACCAGACACAAAGCATAATCTTGCATGGGTGCATAGGCGGTCTTGCGGTGTGAGGGACAGCATCCTGAGGAGACAACCAATGTCTGGAACGCTTGGGAGTTTCGTACAGAACCCACTTTTTATCATTGGTAAGCACTTGATTGAATAAGGATGCGGTACGGTGGCGAGAAAGCAGCGATACTCAGGCTGCCACTCGTTGTCCCTTGTGGACCTCCAACAGTGTTTGCGGAACCCACTTGCTCAGTTTGTACGTCTTACCTAAGCGGTGCAGGTGAAGTCTAACTGTTTCATCGGAAACATTGAACTGTTAGACTACTGTCCTCTTCAATGGATGCCTTCAGGACTCCGTCATTCAAGACCTGTGGTCGTCCACTGCGAGGCTCATCATGGAGAGACAAATCTCCCGACTTGAATTTTTGAAACCAACGCCTTGCAGTACGTACTTCCACAGCACTAACCCCAACCGCTTGACATATGCGGCGACTTGATGCAGCTGCTGATAAGCCCACTTTA